CTCCCAGTTTCTAAAATCGCTTGTCTACTCCAGAGACCGAGGGGTACTGCCTAGGGAAGGAGGAAACTTAAAAATGCACCATACTCAGAACTGCTGTAAGTAACATGTAATTGTAAGCCACATACTCCTTTTTATGAATCTTATTTTACAGATTGGAAAGTATAATTAGTATATACTTCCCACTGGAATCGATACAATGAATGCAACATAAATTAGCTCTCAAGTCTACTGCAGGCCATCCTAAAATATTTAACCAGAAAGACTGTATGTCCAAAACACCAAAAAGTCACTTGTCCTTTCTTAAAACATTGTGTAAGTTTGGCAACTCTTCTGAATCCGAATTGTGCTCCTCTAACTGTTCTATGCTGGACATCAGAAGTTTTCATCCTCATACTGACCCTGATTCACGGTGTAACCTTTAGCTGATCATTTCACCCCAGTTTTTGTCGTTTTCTTCAAGAATGATGAATTTGGTTTCATGGTCACTGCTTGCTAAAAGACACAGTCACATGAATGGTCCAAGGCAAGGCCAGCTCTCAAAACAGCCACCAATTCTGTGGCATCTACCTGTGTTCTTATCAGGAGGGAAGATACAAAGTTTCAAGACCAAACTTCACCTGTCACTAAATCTACCTGAGTCTGAATCTTAGCCACTTTCCTTTCCCTGACTTGCAACCTCAAAGCCAAGAAAAGCAAGGATTTGGGTTGTAAAGATACCTCCTCTAGGTGTTCAGAGTTTTGTTAGCGTTGTTGTTGTTTAGGGATGAGGGATGCCGCTGGAGTGGAAGGGGAAGAGTGTTGTTGGTTTAGTTTGTTATTTAGGATTTTAAAGTTAGTATGGGTTTCAGGCTGCATTTTAAAAATTACAATGGCAACGAGCAAGGAGCCAGAAGGAAATAACAAAGCACATTTTCCTGAATAGCTGTCCCTGTCTTCTGCCTTCAGATTCGACTCAGACTTCCAACTCTGCTTCCTCTCCCGCCTGCTTCCTTCTGAGGTGCAGTGCAGAAGTTCATTCTCAGGTTTCTCTCAGTTTGCAGGACGAGATGCTGTCCGCCCGGCCAAGGGCAGTCATGCCAGCTCAGTGTAGCGTGGTTTCCTTACCCCAGTGCACGCGGACCGAGAGCTCAGCCAGTTTCTCTTCCTGAGACTGCTTCACTTTTCTTCTCAGGGATTTCCAAGGCATGGCTGCTCGCTTTTCTAAAACTCTCCTAAACTGCCTGACTAAAAAAAAAAAAAAACAAACAAACAAAAAAACTAATACCAAAGTACAACATAAGCAGCGCACCCAAGCAGGGTAATTAGGATTGATGTGCTCTTTTAGAGGCACCAAATCCTCAACCTCCCCTTTCTAGTGGCATTTCTCACCTGCTCATGGGGTGCCCACCTGTGGCTTGCTGGCAATGCCACTGCCTGCAAACGGGGAGATTTCCAAGTTCAAAATGAAGGCTTGCTCCTACGTGGTGGAACTCGACAGGGCTGCGTGGAATTCCGTGAAGGCAGTAAGGATGGTATGGAGTCCTAGTTTGTGTCACTGCTCCCTTGTTTATGTTCTTTCCTCGACTATTCCCACGCCCCCTCTCCAGATTTTTGCATGGCTTTTATAGCCTCTAGTAATTATATCAGCAGCATGGAGTCTATTTTTATCTCTTTTGAATGTGTGCAACATAAATGTCAAAACCCATAAAATCTCTTTTTAGCGTGTACCTTGCGTGCACGGTTCTGAAAAGTGTGATGCAGCATTCAGAGAGATGTTGCATTTTGAGGTCAGAAAGATGAAAAATGGAAAACTCAATTTTGCCACTTAGCTGTATGAACTTTCAGTAAGTCCCTTATCATCTTGAACTTTTAGCTTCCTCTTCTGTAAGATGGAGTCCTACTGCCTACCAGCTAGGGTGGCGGTGCAGCACCTAATTTAGTGTCTGGGATGGCCCCTCTCCATAGCAGGTGCCCCCAAACTCCTAAATTATATGTTGCGTGCTCGAATGCCATGACCTTTCAGTGCCCTCCTTTGCCCTTTACCAAACTTAGAAACAGAATAAGTATAAAATCTTACCGGCTCAGCATGACTACTTACTATAAATTGTCATAGGATCCAGTCACAAAATTAGTACACAAAAAATTATACTGAATCCACTGTCACCGAAAACTGTCCCTAGACTTAGTAAATAATAATAACAAAACCTAGCATTTATTATTAAGCACTGCTGTGTGCCAATCTCTTTATATCTAATCTTCGCAGCCACCCAGTGGATAGATAACTATTCTTACCCTCCACTTAATAAAGGAAGACACTAGGGCAGGTTAAATATCTTGCCCAAAGTCACAAGTTAGTAAGTTGGGGAGCTTCAAATTTAAGCAGCCTGACCCCAGAGCCTACAGAAAAATAAAATGTATGCATTCACATTACTGGGCCCCTCCAGCTTCTGGTCTAAGGGTGTTTCCTCTCTGTACTTCCTTTTTTAAGGTGGCCCCTTGGGGAGGCCAAATGAGCCTGTCAGAAGGGCACTCAGAGCTGGAATCCCTTACTCAGCTCCTAGTTAAGGGTCATTCATGCTTCAAGGGGAAAAAACGGACTCAACATGTTCAGGTGTTCCGGTGCCGTGGTGCACTTTTTATGGCTCATTAATTTATCTTTAAGTGAACATAGATTGGGAGACTTTAGAGAGTTGTGAAAAAATGTATTCTTTTCCACTCAAAAGTTCTCTTCTAGTCATAGCAAATGGGTAAAATGAAAGCAACAGAGCACATAGTGAGGAATAATAATAGAACACAAAGAGCATATTTGTTGGCCAATAAACAAAATCTAGTGATTGAAGAAAGAACATATGTGGGCATGTTAGATATATAAGAAATACCATCATACTTTTTTTTTTTGAGAGAGAGTCTCGCTCTGTTCCCCAAGCTAGAGTGACCTAGAATGACATGCTCATATCAAACTCAAAATCCTGAGCTCAAGCGATCCTCCTGCCTCAGCCTCTCGGGTAGCTGTACACAACCACACCAGGTTAGTAGAGACGGGGTCTCGCTCTTGCTCAGGGCTCAGGCTGGTCTTGAACTCCTGTGCTCAAAAGATCCTCCCACCTCAGCCTCCCAGAGTGCTCTGATTACAGACATGAGCCACCACACCGGCCCCGTAATATATTTTATGGGTAAGCTAGCAAGAGCCAGTTCATGCAAATTTT